AGGGCCACTATGCCAGTCACAAGGAGGGTCACTACACCAGTCACCAGGGTGTCACTACACCAGTCACCGGGGGGGGGGGGGCCTATGCCATCACTAGGGGGGTCACTAAGCCAGACACAAGGGGGTTACTAGGCCAGACACAAGGGGGTTAATATGTTCGACACTAGGGGGTTAATATACTGGACACGAGGGGGTCACTATGCCAGACACAAGGAGGTCCCTATGCCAGACACTAGGGGTCACTATGCCAGACACCAGGGGGTCAGTATCCCAGACACTAAAGGGAACTGTACCAGACCCAGAGGAGAAGTGACACTAGAATCATGATAGAGAATGTATTTATGACCAGTGGCGTTCCACAAAATATGAACCATATAAAGGCAACAGAAATTGTGTAAGACACAGCTTTAAAAAAACTGCTATATACAAATATCTTGTTTTTGTTTTATTTTCATTCACATGGTGTTGTTATGGTAACAAAAAGTGAAAGACAACCACTTGTTGATCACCAATATAAAGGACAGCATTTTATAAATGTGTCCAGCTTGTGCCAGCTCGAGCAGAGTTCAATGATAAACTCCAATATGAGTCCCTGGCCTGGCCTGGCCTGGCCTTGACCATCCAAACAAGAACCCCCCAGTCAAGGGCACTGTTCTAGCTCAGCATGATCTTGGCCTAACTTTGATTCATTTTAGGCCAAAACCATATACCAGTAAACACACAAAAGATAATCTTGTGTTAATTATTGGAAGGAAGAATAGTTCGTCTCTGATAAAATGCTGTTGTGTAAATCTAGCAAAAGTTGAAATGACCACCTAAATGTAAACAGCATTCAAGGACAGGCCGGCAACTGATTAAATCCGACACAGCTGCCAGCGTATAGCCTTCAGACTGTCCTAGATACAGCAACAACAAGTCAATGCAATAAAATACTTGTGGAATGTATAGTAAATGTTTTAGTTAACTTGAAATGACATTTTTCACACCTGCAGTAGGTCTAGAAGAAAACCTGCTGATTAAACATACACAGAATGTAAATGAAGGTTTATGATCCAGAAACTGGAAAAGAATTAGTTGTTTATAAGAAAAAAATAAAGAAACGCCATGTGCATTTTGAGAATGTTTGTATGAGGATTTATTGCATCAGACCTTGACTGGTTGGTTGGTTGGTTGGATGGTTGTTGATTCATTAAGTCATTAGGCACTGGTATTTTCATTGATGTTTTCATTTGTTCATTCATTGTTTTGTTCATTCATTGTACTATTCATCATTCA